GTAACGGTAGCAGTATGAAGCAGCAGAAGCAGCATTAGCAGTAGCAGCAGTAGCAGTATGAAGCAGCAGCGGTTGCAGCATCCGTAGATAATAACAGCCATAATCCTGTATCAAAGCCAGAGCAGTAGAATATTGTTGTAGCTGTTTAGTGTTTCAGTAAAAGAGATGCGAAGTGAAGAGAGATGTCAAGTACATGAAGCAGCAGCAGCACGGCAGCAGATGCAGTATGAAGCAGCAGCGGCAGCAGTAGCAGCAGTAACGGTAGCAGCATGAAGCAGCAGCAGCAGCAGCGGTTGCAGCATCCGTAGATAATAACAGCAATAATCCTGTATCAAGCCACCGCAGTAGAATATAGTTGAAGCTGTTTAGTGTTTCAGTAAAAGAGATGCGCAGTGAAGAGAGGTGTCAAAGTAAAGAAGCAGCAGCAGCACGGCAGCAGATGCAGTATGAAGCAGCAGCGGCAGCAATGCAGCAGTAGCGGCAGCAGAAGCAGCAAGCAGCAGCAGCACAATGCAATTCATACGAACAACAGACGTGTCACGCCAGCGTGCGCCGCTTGTCTCCGTGAGCCAGGTTACGTACGTGTCTGAAGAGCCGAGCCGTAGAGATAGGTGCAGCCTGGGAGCCTGCGGAGCGGCAGCGGCAGGAACAGCAGCAGCGGCACATGTAGTAGTAGGAGCAGCAGGAGCAGGCAGCAGGGACAGGCAGCAGCAGGAATAGGCAGCAGCGGGATCAGGCATCAGTAGGAACGGCAGCAGGGACCGCAGCAGCGGCGGTCAGAGAACCATGCCCACGGTTGTTTAAGAGCCTGAGGAAATAAATCAACCCGAATCCGAAACATTCCCATGCGAGAAACAGATGTCCCCTGGAGCCAACTTGCTGCTTTGGTTATGGCAGATACGCATGAACGATCACTGATCCATGCGTTCATTAGCTCCAGCTCCACTTCAAACCCATTGCATATTCACATTGGGCCCCTTTTCTTTCTGCTGCACTTTCGAAATGCAACAACTGCAGTTTAGTTACCCAGTTTAATACTAGTGACCTAGCTATTTAAATGCATGGCCCCTCCTTCCTCCTGCAGATAGACGAATTTAAATACATCATTTAACAATAGTGACTTGCAGACTTCAGAAGATCGGGAAGTGGGCGTCTCCGGCTTTTAACTTGCTGTCCTGGTGGTTATTGGTTGACTGGGTGTGGGCGTTGCTGGTATTGATGAGTCGAGGAAGAGCAGCCTGTGGCCTGGCAGCAACAGCCGGGTCTACCACGGTGAACTTTCGCGAAAGCTCCATTTCAAAGTAACATGGGTAAAGTTTTAGGGTTGTGCATTTTCCTCCATCACATCACATCGGCGTCTTTCTATTTTTTATTATTATTAATCTTTATTTCAGACTGAAAGTAAATTGGTCCATAAAATCAAAGCCCTATTTTTTGTTATGCAGAAAGTTAAAATATGTCTCATTTCCACTGAGCAAAAACACTGGGAGACATGACCTGGTGGCGTCTCTCCCCGGCTTTCTACAGAGTGTTTTTGCCGCGGGTGTGAAACGGGAATACTTAGATACTCCTTTCTTTGTGCTTGTAATTAATTTGTTGAAAATGTTTATATTGCTATGTGGTTGATAAGTATGATATTGCCTTCCCTGGGGTCCTGGGTGCACTGCGCTGGGACTTAAAGCTGCACTAACTGACTTTATTTTCGTATTAATTACGAAAATGCTATCCATGTCCATGTAGTGCATTGGGATAAACGTCCTTTTGAAGAAAAAGTAGCGCAGATTTGTGCCGGCCTGACATTATATTTTCGATCGAGTTTTGATGAAACAAGGAAGAGAATGTGTTTCGGGTCGCAGATTGTGACCAATCACAGCGCACCACTAGCCCCCACTTTCGTGAGAAATCTCCAGGTCCGTTAGCACAGACAGCTGAGTTAGCACAACAAGCGGCGGAGCTAACCTGAAACTTTCTCGTCTTCGTCACCGGTTACTGCTTACACAGCGAAACAGCCATCCAAAAGAAAGTCTCGTTCCTTCGCGCTTCCCGGTTCTATCGTTCTATGGTCACGCCATCCACGTGAAAATCCATGTCCATGTATTATCCATATTGGGAGAGGCTAGCTCCGTCTCAACACTGTGTGTGTGTGGGGGGCGATAGCTTCGTGGGTGCGGGGAGGGGAGCAGAAAGAGCGAGGCCAGCGAGTCCGCGGCTTCAAAATCCCAAAGTCAGTTAGTGCAGCTTTAAGACATTAGAATATAACCTCTCCATCCGTGGGAGTGGATCCCTCTCTCACTGTGGGCCCCCCCAAGGTTTCTAACTTATTTTTTTACCAACTTTTGAGACGTCCCTTGCAGATGCAGGAGGGTCTAAGTGATACGGTATATTTAAGGACATGTTTTACATTTATGGACAGTGGTCAAGGTCATGCCGTTCTGTATGGACCAATGGCTCCTATTAGGGCTGGGCGATATGGCAAAAAAAAAAAATCTCCGATTTTTTCACACCAAATCCGATTTTCGATTTTAATCGATTTATTTTTTTCTATTTAAAAACAAACTACAACTGACAAAGAAATAGATTTTCCTTTATGCAGTTTAATCTAAATCCCCATGGAGCATAAGTGTAACAGGAATTAAGCCTTAAAACATGCTTGTTAACGAGATGGCTCTGCCATTGTAAACAGTGAAAATGTAGCTTAACAGTTTTATAATAACTTCACTTACAATGACACTATGCACCTTCAAAATAACTTAAATCACACAAACAAGGCCCATCGCAAATATATCAATCCTATTAAACACATGCAATATTTACATGAAATATCACATTTTTAAAACTGATTACTCAAAATAGAAATGTTGTAACAGACAGTCTTTTCCAAAAGCCTCCTCGGGTTTTCATGCTTGTTCTTTCAACTGTGCCTGAGTAACTGTGCTGTAGTACAACGCTCGGTCCAGCTGGTGGCGCTAATACTAACTTCAGTGACTCCCGCATTGTGCGAGCTTCCTGTTTACATTCTGATGCTGTAGCTAACAGCTACTGTAGCAGCTACTGTAGCTAACAGACAGCGGGGAACACGTTGTTTGTATCAGAGCAATGAGAGCAATGTGTGAGACGTGTCTTTCCCCAAAGTGCAGCGGCTCAGTGGGACACGAGTGTGTGCGCGCCACGGACACGGGAGTGCGCTTTGGAATAACGAGCGTGAGAGAGCGTGAAAGATGTGGCGTACGAACATGGCGTACGAACATGGCGACCGGGGCTTGCGTGTGTGTGTGTGTTTTGGCGATTAAATAAAGTCTGATTCTTGAACGTTTGAAGTGCTATTGCAACAGCACCAACTGTGAGAGCGAGCATCAGGCCAGAGGGAGACTGTTAGCATTAGGTTAGCTTCAAAATGACTGCTCAACAACATAGACCCGCGGTTAGCGCGTTAGCGCGGTAGTTCTGCGCTGGAGAAAATAAAAATCGAATTTTTAAAAAAAGAAATCGCCCTAAACGTAAAACTCGAATTAATGATTAAAATCGATTAATCGCCCAGCCCTAGCTCCTATGTGTTTGTTGTTATTGCATTTCCCGTGTTCAAACTGTTTAATTCTCTGATCTGTTGTTGGTGAATCGACAACCTTGTAAACTCCCCCGAGACGAATGATGTGAGTCAGGGTTATACGAAAACAAATTGAATTGAGTAAAAGAGTTCTTAAAGTTGGAAGTTTGTTTTGAGCCTTGTATTTGGACACGTCCCAATCTTCCCCTGCTGTGATAAGTCGACTGTGTTCCAACAACATTCCTCCGTTTCCTTCTGCTGTCCCGAGTCCAACTGCATTTTAACCTGGGTCAAATAACAGGTCTGCAGTGGGTAAAAAAGCCTTTTGGGTCAGTTCGGGGGGGGGGTTGATATGGGTAAAAATAAATATCTCTATTTATTTCCCAACTCCCAGTAACGATATTGTCACAATATCTTTAAAATAAATGATTTTTACACAAAATGTTCTAAAATGTTAATCAAATAGCAAAATAGCAAACATGCACAAACATATATTAACATAAAAAATCAAATTCAAGTAACATGGGACAAACACATCCAAAAAGGCTTGTTCAATATTTACTGAAATTTACAAGTATGTCTGCTATAATTGTAATATGTATTGAAAAAAGAAAAAAAGAAGAACACGACAATACAAAAAAGCATATCTTCAAATTCACTTTTGCGATATTATTGTCTACAATATATTTTGCCCACCCCTAGGATCAGTCCATATCAAGTGGACTAGGGCCATTGGATGACATTCGGTACCGATTCAGAGTCATTTTATTTGCCATTTGCTGTAACAGTACATTTAGCGGACCGAGACCACCTAAAAAAGTGGGTCTCGGTTCGGTTCTTTGGTCCGGACCAGGATTTGTTTGTGTGTACTGTATTCAGACCTGCATAAAAGGTTCGGATCAGAGTTCCAAATGAATCCAGGTCTGTTTAAAGTGGAGAAAATGTGCAGGTCTGAATACACACTTAGTTAAAATATAAGTTAAAATACAGTTAAAGCACAATTCATGGATTTTTTGTGATTTTATTGTAAAGCTCTTTGGTTCGCCTTGAGTGCTTTAATGGGTTCTATAAATAAAACTTGATTGATTGAACAAGCCATGCCTCTAATGGTTCTTAACCATTCTGTGTCTTTCAAATCAGAGATACTGGACCTGGAAACGAGTTGGAAACTGGTCCCATTGATATGAAATATAAATTTGATTATGGCCCAATATAGTCTCTGTCCATGATATGTAATCGTAATATCCCATTCGTCCGTTTCTCTTGTCCTTTTTAACCTCCTTTCATTACCGCTGATTAAGTTTGGTCACATTCTTAGAAGATAAATCACTGAAATGTAATCTTTTCATAATCCTTTATGTGACCGTTTTGAAAAGAGCTTTATTACAGGCCTCCGCTGAATGAGTTAGAATTTAATTTTGATTTCTATTCCTCAGGTACGATACTGGTGGAGAACATGCGGATCAACGGAGTAGCAGACGGCCCCAATCCCACCATTTCTCTCTCGCTACGGGACAACCACGACCACTGGGTGCTCCTAGACCCCGCCAAGCAAGCCCTGTACCTCAACAGCACCGGACGCCTCCTGGATAGAGACGTAATTAGCGCTTCTTTGATTTAATTTTAGCTCAGATTCACGGTCGCTCACACGGGGGTTAGTCGAAGAGAGTCCCCGATGTCGCGTTCAGCCAAGAAATGTACTTCTGTGGCGGTTTCTCCTCATTCCCGCAATGATTTCATTAACTTTTTTGGCGTCTGTTTGAGTAAATAGAATGTTATCTCCAGACTCCTGCTGTTTTTATTTGTGGTGAAGTAGTTCAGCGAATTTGGATCGTTTTTGATGAAGTTTTGGAAGTTATTTTGACAAACTATTTGATGTCATGATTTTCTTAAAAGCATGGCGCAAAATGTACGTCTTTTTAACCGTGCTACATAGGGCTGGGCGATTAATCGATTTTAATCATTAATTCGAGTTTTACGTTTAGAGCGATTTCTTTTTTTAAAAATTCGATTTTTATTTTCTCCAGCGCAGAACTACAGCGCTAACGCGCTAACCGCGGGTCTATGGTGTTGAGCAGTCATTTTGAAGCTAACCTAATGCTAACAGTCTCCCTCTGGCCTGATGCTCGCTCTCACAGTTGGTGCTGTTGCAATAACACTTCAAACGTTCAAGAATCAGACTTTATTTAAATCGCCAGAACACACACACACACGCACGCAAGCCCCGGTCGCTATGTCCGTACGCCACATCTTTCACGCTCTCTCACGCTCGTTATTCCAAAGCGCACTCCCGTGTCCGTGGCGCGCACACACTCGTGTCCCACTGAGCCGCTGCACTTTGGGGAAAGACACGTCTCACACATTGTTCTCATTGCTCTGATACAAACAACGTGTTCCCCGCTGTGTTAGCTACAGTAGCTGCTACAGTAGCTGTTAGCTACAGTAGCTGCTACAGTAGCTGCTACAGTAGCTGCTGCAGTAGCTGTTAGCTACAGTAGCTGCTACAGTAGCTGTTAGCTACAGCATCAGAATGTAAACAGGAAGCTCGCACAATGCGGGAGTCACTGAAGTTAGTATTAGCGCCACCAGCTGGACCGAGCGTTGTACTACAGCACAGTTACTCAGGCACAGTTGAAAGAACAAGCATGAAAACCCGAGGAGGCTTTTGGAAAAGACTGTCTGTTACAACATTTCTATTTTGAGTAATCAGTTTTAAAAATGTGATATTTCATGTAAATAATGCATGTGTTTAATAGGATTGATATATTTGCGATGGGCCTTGTTTGTGTGATTTAAGTTATTTTGAAGGTGCATAGTGTCATTGTAAGTGAAGTTATTATAAAACTGTTAAGCTACATTTTCACTGTTTACAATGGCAGAGCCATCTCGTTTACAAGCATGTTTTAAGGCTTAATTCCTGTTACACTTATGCTCCATGGAGATTTAGATTAAACTGCATAAAGGAAAATCTATTTCTTTGTCAGTTGTAGTTTGTTTTTAAATAGAAAAAAATAAATCGATTAAAATCGAAAATCGGATTTGGTGTGAAAAAATCGGAGATTTTTTTTTTTTTGCCATATCGCCCAGCCCTAGTGCTACAACATCGTTCTCTCGTCAAAAACAAACTGAGTTGTTTTTAGATCCGGATCAGTGACCTCTGACACAAACGTCTATCTCATTCTAACATTCTAGGCAAGCTTATTTACCCCACTATAAAAGTTTTCTGCCTTTTTAAACAAAAATAGTGCTCACAATCGAGAAAAGATGAGATTAGATAAGAGAACAGTTATTTTTCCCATCGTGAGGAAATGTTGAGGTTGCAACGCACGTACAGGACAGGATTAAGAGCAAATATACAAGAGCAGTAACTGTAATGCTTCTTAACCTGCTGTAAATACTTCATCAGAGCAGCAAGTAAATATCACTCTATCATATACATATATGTATGTAATAGTGCTGTAAAAGGACTCAAATATTGAATCGCATTAATGTCATTGCTAACTCGCAATTAATCACATATTCTTCCCTGTTCTAAATGTCCCTTGATTTGGTTTGAAAAGGGATTGGATGGAGAAAAAATATTATGGCTCTGTCCCAATTCTGAGGGCCCTCCAGGTGTGAGTGCCCTCACCAGAGAAGTGCCTTCCCATAGAGGAGTGCACTCACAGGATATTCTCCCTAAGAAATGGGACACCTCTGGATCTAGGGGACAATATGCAAATGACGCAGCAAACATGTTCCACGTCACACTCATTATCAAAGTGTCTGATTTCACCACAGATAAGCTCTGACACAGATTTGACTTTGTGAAACAAAGTATTTATTAAAATGAGACGTTTTTAATTCAAACATTCAAACATAATTTCATTTGAAGATTTGTTATAATTAGGTACAGAACTGCTGCGCATCACGCACTCATAGAGACAGACGCACACACACACACACAAACACACATGCACACACACAGAGGCAGACACACACACGCACACAGACAAACGCATGTACAAACACACAGAGACAGACACATGTACATACACATACACGCAAAGACACATACCACACAGAGACAGACGAGTACAGCCGTGGATCAAGTAAACTGTGTCAAAGCGATGCTCTGAACTACAGTATGGATCTATAATAATAACATGTACGACGTCTCTGAAGCCTCAATGAACGCCACACACTGCGGCCGCTTCGGGAGCAAACGTCACCACACGGCTGCTTTACCAACAGCTATCGTAATGCATCATGGGATCACCCTCGCTCGCAAGTGAGCTCCGGACCTCACTTGGGCTCAAGGGTGGTTTTTAGTGGTGTGAGGGCCCTCACCTCTTCTCCTTAAGTATTGGGACACCCTACAACCCCCACGGGCAAGCACAAAATCTAGGGCAAGGGTGCTTTTTAAGGGCAAGGGTGAGAATTGGGACTAGGCCTGTCACGATAACAAATTTTGCTGGACGATTAATTGTCTCAGAAATTATTGCGATAAGCGATTATATTGTCGTTTTGAGATAATTTGCATCGATTACAATGATAATGCAGGTACACCTTTTCAAAGAGAAATAAACTTTTATTTTTAACGAATATTTAACGCTAGAACACAATAAATTAACAAACAACCAAAAACAATAAATAAAAGTCTCTTAACAAAAAATGACCAGCAATAAAACTGCCAGGACCTTTGTAAAGAAAATATGAAACAGATGCCTCAAATGTCAATAATTTCTCAGACTTTATGGCAGATTACGAGAAAGAAACACCAACATGTTGACTTTGTGTGGCTTAAGACAGGATCTCTCAGGAGTAGTCCCGCCTCCCCACACACCAGGCGAATGACAAGTGACTGACATGTGGATTCACCAATGGGGCGTACAGAAGTCCTGCTGCGGTAGCGCCCACCGGAAGTAGCGGGGCAGGCTTTGATGCTAACAGCTAAGCTAGCGGGTTTTTTTGTGTAAAGTTCTACTCCAAGAATGCAAGTCTGCAGCATCTCTGTGTTCAGAGACCTTCTAGAGACTTTATATAACAGCAGTATGTGTTCACGGAGGTGCGCCATAAGTTTATTTTATTGGTATGGTACGGTACTTCTGCATCGGCGAACACGCTAACGCTAGCTGCGCTAGTATAGTCATTAATCAAGCCTGAATGAGAACTCAGCTGCCGGCATATGTTCACAACTACTGTGTCCCCCATTGTCAATCCTGGTTAAGTCCTGGTTTAGGTCCTGTTTTGGCTGTATTTTGTATTTTTGAGTAATTTCCGTCTGCTTGCTAGACCGCTAGTGTTCCCGTGACCACTTTGCGGCTCTCTGACCCGAGAGAGACGGGGGAAACAAACAAGCATGTAAATGAGATTTATCGCGGCCAGAAAAGTTATTGAGCAAATTTTATTTATCGTGCGATTAATTGATTTATTGACTATCGCGACAGGCCTAATTGGGACGGGGCTTATATTACGGTAAACCAATCCCCTCCAAAAAGAAAGTATTTGGATTGTTTAATATCAGCTTCTCAATCTCTGCTTTTGTTATTTCTTTTTACAGAGTCTAGAAACATTGGACACAGAAATGACGACGCTTTTGTTTGTGTTTCATTCAAGTCTGCTAGATGTAATTTTACAGTCTATATGACGATCACACGCAGTGGAAATAACTCTCGCTTCAACGTTTGGGCTCTGACCTCGACATAGTTGTGATTCCTGATGAACGTAAAATCAGTGAGAAGGCAATCAGCAGTGAGCACGATTGCTTTTGTTCTCTCACGCCTGCTGTACCTTACGTCTGCTCACTCGTCTCCTCTCATTATCAACACGTTTAACGGACAGCGCTAGTATTTTTAAAGTGTCAATTATATACATAGTTCCCACAGACCAATGAATGTCACATGACCTCCTCGGAGACGCCATCTTTGATGGCACGCTGCTGTGTTTGTGCATTCCATTAAACAGAAGAATGAGAATAAATGTAGATATTCAAACGCAAATTGGAAAAAAAGGGCAACTTTTGAGCAAATAATTGTATATTAATACAATGGCACCACAGTTTAACTTGCTACGGACATGTTTTACATATTTGATCAAATTATGCAGCAAAAATTAACAAGCAATGCAAACATTTCTCAAAAACTTTAGATTTAATACCAGTTGGAGCTCCATTTAATTATTTTAATTATATTAACAATTAATTTAATTAATGCTAATGCCACACGGACACTCTGGATTGCTGTTATTGTTTATTTCCGCGTTTTTGACCGTATGTTTTGGTGAATGGTGGGCAACTGATTTTTCCAGGCGTAAAGAGCAGTTTATTTTATGACACAGATCTTTTTACAGAAGCAATGCTGTTTGTGAACATTGTTTTAGCCCACCATAGAACTATTATTATCTATTTAATACATTTACGTTGCCCTCGAGAGCCTCGGACGCGACACCGATCCTCCTCATAATAAAGTAATCTAACGCTAAATAATGAAACTCTCAAGTTACCAGATATCAGCATACACAAGTTAGTACTGAGTAAATTACGTCTGTCAACACATTATAAGATACGATACGCACCTGACACAAAGTGCTCCGAGCATATTCTTGCGTGTTTTGAGGGAGTTTCTTGCCTGTTTATCTTCGCAAGCCATAGCCTCCGTGGTTGTTCTGACAAAAGCTTAGTCTTCTCACATTCATGAAGTCTAATGATGGGTATACTGTAAAATCCAAGTTTAACGAAACCTCCGGCACGATTTGAACATCCATTGACCCAGCAGGAGATGACCATTTTCAACTTTATCACGACATTAACACGTTTCAGCTTCTTTTTCTATTGTTTTGCCCACAGCATGCCAACTCAAATGGCGCCGGGTCGGCAAATCCCCGTATGTAGTGACGTCATGTGGGAACTATGTATACATACATGGCAGGATAATAAATAAATAATAAAAATATTCAGTGGTCATTCTGAAATTGCACATTGCACAAGATTACACTATTTAATCTAATTCCCACAGAGCTAAAACAAGTAGTGGTTGCAGCTGGTAATTTTATAATTTGGTTAAAAAAAACTACATTAACTCTATACCTCCCTCTGGTGGGAGCGTACGGGTAGGACAGGCGGTTAGCATTAATTATACTTCACACTTGTTTCAGTAAATATATATTCTGTGTCAGTGTGTCAGTGTGTGTCAGTGTGAGTGTGTGTGTGTGCATGTCAGTGTCAGTGTGTGTCAGTGTGTGTGAGCATGTGTGTGTCAGTGTGAGTGTGTGTGTGTGTGAGCATGTGCGTGTCAGTGAGAATGTGTGTGTGTCAGTGAGTGTGTGTCAGTGTGAGTGGGTGTGAGTGTGTGTCAGTGTTTGTCAGTGTGTGTGTGTGTGTGTGTGTGTGTGTGAGCATGTGTGTGTCAGTGTGAGCATGTGTGTGTCAGTGTGAGCATTTGTGTGTCAGTGAGTGTGTGTCAGTGTGAGTGTGTGATTGGTTCCTTGAGGTGAAGCGCTGTGAGTGCCTTGAGAAGATAGAAAGCGCTGTAGAAATGTGACCATTTATTTGATGGACTTTTTCCCCAGCCGCCTTCGTTACTCCAGTCCATCGTGGTTCAGGTCCAGTGTTACAACAGACTGATCGGGACCGTTATTCTGCACGAGGTCCGGATTGTGGTACGAGACAAGAATGACAACGCGCCTGTGTTCCAGAAGCCCAGATACTACAAGGCCATCAGTGAGGTAAGCACTGCAGTGGAAATGTATACTTCTGTGATATAGATCCGAGGGAAGCGGCTTCTCTGTGTGTGGGTTATACAAATAGTAAAGAAATCATAACAAAAACATGAAAGACTTAAAAATTTGAAATGTAAAGGTTCTTAAAAAATTGGATTGGAGAGAGAGGGAGAGAGAGAGAGAGAGGTTCACAGCTACACACTAAAAAAATCAAATCAAATGTATATCCTCAGCTAAAATAAGCATTCGACCATTTTCTTTGTTTCTTACTTTACTGCAAAGAGACATTTCTTTTCACCCCTAAAAAACTAATTTTTGGGATACAGTACTTTGTGAGACAATACTTACCATACAAGATTTTTTTTTTTAATCTTGTATGGTTATTTTAACAAAAGGTTATGGAAAAATTAACCAGAACATGCTAACTGTGTGGACTTTGTATGTTCCTCCCTGTGTCTGGGTGGGTTTCCTGGAGGCCAGAGGTGTCCAACCCTGTCCAGAAAGGGCCACTGTGGCTGCAGGTTTTCTATCAGACCCAACAAGAGCAAAACAGAAGAAAAACAGAAAAAAAGAACACCTCCTTAAAAATCATTCATAATTCTTATAGCGTGAAAAGAAATGTTGATATCTACATTTATTATTGTTGATTTTATAATGACTTGCATCCCTACAGGAAGGCAGTTAGGCTCAAAATAAACATTGCTTCAACAGCTTTACACAGACGAAATCCAAGTAGAACTAATTAAACTGTATGTAAACGTGTATTTCTCACACGCTAACATAATGTCATCACTGCTCCATTTCTCACAAACGCACAAAAACTCCATGATCTATCAATATCTCCAGCTCACCATCCAATTTTCTCTATTCACTCAGAAAAAAAAAGGATTTGGAGCATGAAAAGAGGAAAAGCCTGAGAATGAAGTTACAACAGAGACGTATGGAGCAATACCCTGAGTGCCCTACACACAACATTACTCTAATACCATGTTCCTATTAGCATAATGCATTCTTCATCGATTAGTTCTGCAAACAATTGACTACACTGGAACACTTCACATAATTTGGTGACTTTTGCTCACCTTAGAAAGATAGAGAAATATTGCAGTGTTTAACTCTTTCGTGGATCATCTTTTCAGCATCTACTTGAAGCTTGGAACTGAACTCTACCTTTTTGGAGTATCTCACTTGGTTTTAGGCATTTTTTACCATCAAACTAGATCTCAACTATTTTTTAAAGGCCTATAAATGAAAAATTAGGAGTTAAAACAAAAAACATGTATTTGTGAGAGTCTAACACAGGGATGTCAAAGTCAAATACATCAGAAAATTCTAATTTGGTACAAGCCGAGGGCCGCACTAGTTCAATGCTTATTAAAACATATTAAGATAATTGCATATAACCTATTGACTCAAGACCTAACAGTGTTCTGTATTTTATCTAATAATTAAATGAGTCATCTAATATTTTTATAGCTCTAGTAAAAACATTTGTCATTAAACTCACAGACAAAAACAAACTTCCTTCAAAGAGAAAACACGTGTCCTGAACATCAAATGAATAAGCTCCTTAATTAATAAATAATTTCCTTATGGCTCTGTGCGGGCTGGTTCTAATACTAATCAAAAATCATCCCGGGGCCAAAATAATTAATTTGCGGTCCAGATCCGGCTCTCGGGCCTTAACTTTGACTCCCATGGTCTAACACAAGGACAGTGGTCATGATCCAGGACACACAACATTGGTCCTCTGTCACTTTTGGACCGAAAGTGGCTGGTGGCTGAGTGGATAGCACTCTCGCCTCTCAGCAAGAAGGTCCTGGGTTCGAATCCCGGCCGGACTAGGGCCTTTCTGAGTGGAGTTTGCATGTTCTCCCCGTGTCTGCGTAGGTTTCCTCCGGGTACTCTGGTTTCCCCTACCACTAAAAATATGTACAATAGGTCTGGCATGCGCCTCCTGTTCGGCGACCCCGCTCCCATCTCTGTGTGGAGTGAGAGACAAATGCCCAAAAAATAACAATTGTAAACCGCTTTGTGACTCTGGTCTGTGAAAGGCGGTATATAAATAAAGATTACTTACTTACTTACTTACAACACCAAAGTATTTTAAATTTTCTTTCTTGTGTTTGAACTGTATGATTCTCTGATCGGTGTTGGCGAGATAAATACTTTGTTTTGATTTAGGGCTGTACAAGAATACCTTGAAATACCGCATGTGAAATCACTTTATTATAGTAAAAATATGTCCCATCTGCTTTCACTGCCACTCTAGCACACCAAAATAAACTCAGGCAAACCTTTCTCGACCATAAAGTGCTGTCTCCAAACTTGCAGGTTGATGTAAAACGACTTACTCTGGCACCCTAACTTTCTAAATCTTTAAACTGCCAATCCTTCTGTTCCTCCGTAAAGGGGGGGGGGGGCGCCAGATTTAACCGGCTTGACTTCTAAACTGGACAAGGATGTGTGTAGCCTGCTGCCAGCTCAGAGCCAGGCAACCCAACTCCAATATCTCATTATAGCGTTTCCCTAGGCCTGTCCTGCACAATCTGTCTCCTGTAGCATCCCTTTCATTTCTGTTTTAGGCTCCGCTCTGCTCTCCATCACGGCACCTTTCCTCACCCCCGCCACCTTTAGCTGCCGCACTTCAAACTCTGCCTGTTTTATGGTCCTTACAGGGCACCGTCGCTCTCATTACTCCGACTGAAATAATTGCCCACTATTCATTTTAGAGTGCGAAATGGCAGAAAAGCGACCTTCAGTCTTGGTACGTGGCTGAGATGTGATCACATGTGGGCTGTGGATCAGAGCCTGGAGTGATGGCCGATAAGCTCAAATATGTCGATTTCATGATTTAAAGGAGCTATACCTGTTTTTGTGAGGTTTGAATGTTTAGCACCGCCCCCGTAACTCGCTCACAGGCTTCTCATTTCCCCTACTCTCTCATTCCACGGAGCCATCTAGGTTTATTTGCGATCTGATACGTATGCTAACATTAGCATGAGCGCAACTTCTTGTAAGCTGTTCAACAATCACTGATGAAATTGTATAAAAGCAATGCACTGCTAACAAACTATATAACTGAAAGATTACAGCTAGTTCCGAATGTAGTCCCAGCGTAGATAGTCCGAGGCGGTCCCGCACCCTCAGGTCTCTCCAGAGGATGCGATGTAAGCTAGCTATGTTCACCCGGGCTTGATTTATTTTTTGAACATTTTTTTGGCTTTAGTTCCCTCTTCTCTTCCTCACCGTTGTGTCGTTTGGACTGTTTTGTTGTGTCTGCAGTTACAGCCAGAGGAGTTATAGCCAATTCTGCTAACATGCTGCTGTGTTTAGCAGCGCTGTAGAGGCTAGAGGACGCAGCCTCGTTCTGTGATTGGAGGAGAGCGGGCGTCACGCTAAGTCTCTACTCAGCACTTTTTTACGGCCTGAATTCATACACAGCTGAATCAATGAGCTAAAGTTTTCAATTAAATTACGGATTATAATACAACTTATATGTAGTAAAAAGCATTTTTATTAACTCATTAAATACAAAATCTGGTATAGCTTCTTTAACAATATTGATAATATTATTTCTCAAAAGTGTAATGGATGAATTCAAATCCTAAACTATTCCAGAGAGTATTTTAGGTCTCGTCTTAAGACCCACTTTAACTCTAGCTTTTAACGCTGCGTGAGTTGTGTGGTCCTCTTTTTTATATGTTTTACTTATTGGTTGGTTATATGGTTTTCATTTTCATTTTTATACTGGATAACTGTTATTTTATTGTTTTTATTATTTTTTCTGTGTTTTTAGTTTGTACATGTTTGTATGTTTTTTGTTTTCTATTTTCTGAACAAGTGTTACTTCTATTTCTGTACAGCACTTTGGAAACTTGTTGTATAAAATGTGCTGTACGAATAAAATGGATTGGATTGGGTAGAAAATAAGCAGCTGATTGAGTGGTTAGCCCTCTCGCTACTCAGCAAGAAGGTCCTGTCTTTGAATCCCAGTTTGAACAGGGCCGGTCTGAATGGAGTTTGCACGTTCCCCTAGAAACAAGTACAATAGATCAAATCCTCCAGCTCCGGCCCGGACCAAGAGCATCAACATCTGGGCATTGATCCGTGGGAGCTGAGGCCCTGGTGTCCTTGGAGGGTTGGGTCCAATCCAGAGGACGCTTTTCTCTACAGGAACAATAATGTGGAACTTAAAGTGATAGTCTATAACTCTAAATGAATTACAAATTTTAGGAAATGTGTTAAATTGACCTCCTGGCCTTAAATATTGATATAAAATAAGTCATTTTATTAATTCTAATATTACGGGCAAGTCCCGCCTTCCCTGCTCTTAGCTATAGTTCAGAATCCACGGTGCCGTCGAGGTTAACCAATCGAGTCATGCCAAGGGATGTCAATCATTGGCGCTGATGCTCGCAGCTGCGCGCATGCTCAGTTGTTTGTTTTTGCGGAGCCTCTATTAGGCTCTGGAACTACATGAAAACTGAACAAAGAATTCTGAACATCCGCGCTGAGGTACTTATGTATATACTGAACCTATATCCATAATCAGATCCTCTGCAGATGTGTCCTATAATGTGCAATTCATGATAATAGCACTTCCTGGTTTGCCGCGATCGCTTTTTTGTGTGCATAAAAACATATATTTTTTTCATTAAAACGTTCACAAATAATTCTGAAAACCTCCGTGCATGTGTATTAATAATGTATATGTATAATATGTTCTCTGATTAAAATTTCAAAGTGTTACGGAAATGTAGGTGTAGACCAATCAGAAAGGAAGGGGGAGGAGCTTGCGTCGTTTTTTTCAAATCAAGTACCTCTCTGTCTCTTTTTCTGACAAACTCCAGACAATCACTTTAATATAACTTATTGTTGAAGTTAAACTGATTGTTTTTTTATTTATTCTATCAATACTATTTTTGGTAAAACTTTAGATTAGCCCTCACTAATAAACAGCTAATAAAGTGATACTTAGTGTACCCTAACTCTAGACCTAACCCTAGCCCTAACTCTAACCCACATGGGAAAGTGTCAGTTAGTAGTCAGTTAGATGTTGACTATGGCCATGTAGAATAAGGACTGTATAAATGCTCAATAAATACCAATTAAGATTAACCATAAATATACAAATTAACCATAAAAACAAATAAAAATAATCTTTTATCTAAATTCTACACAAATTAGCCCCTGATTTGCTGTTAATAAGTCAGGTCTAAACTAAAGTGTGACCCTATTTTTTGTAATTAAAAATAATTAGTCTATATTTATTCAAAACAAATGAAGTGCTTCTTCTCACTAAATCGACTATTTAGTATAGAAAGGGTGACTTGTTTTTAGGTTAGTACTGTCTGTAGACCTAACGTATAATGTATTAAACCTGTATCAGAACTATTCCATTTAATGAACTCGCTCCCCCAATGCACTTTTATTGTTATAAAAGTGCATTTAAACCATGAATGTAGATGGTTTGAATGACTAAACATCATTTCTGGAGATAGATAATCCTTGTTTGTCCGTCAGCAGTGAAAATAAAATGTCATTGTTGTGCACATTACAACAGAATACAAGGAGAAAGTAAAAGGAAACTCAGGTTGTGCACACAAACTGGATCTATTATATAAGATGATAGATCATACAACAATATAACAAAGTCTATAAAGAGCTATAATTGCATTGGGTTGAAGGACAAGGAGGTATTTACAGATGATTTATATAGTTATATTAATATATTATTAGATTAATATTTAAAGATGCAGTGTGATAATATTGTGAATTCTTTATTGAATCTGACATACTGCACTTTTCTTCCGAGCTACAAAAAACAAAAACAAAAAAATCAAATGTAAATCTTCATCAAAAATATACTTTCTTTCATCATTTTCTTTGTCGCTTATTTTACCGCAAAGAAAATACCAGTTTCTGAAGTCAATTTGTCGGAGGAACATGGCAACCCCGAGGCTCTGAGCCATGATCTGGCAACTCTATTTTGTTTTTTATTGGAAACAAATCCCTCCCAAAAAGTGTCAGAGTGTCAGGGGCACGCGCTCGTAAGCCCATTGTGGTTTAAGTGGGAGGCAGAGATGAGGAAAATGATGTAACAAATTATCGTTGCGGCAACTAAATCGGGCGTAATCTGCAGCGTGCGGTGTTGGTGTCTGGAGATTAGAACTCCTCGCTCCGACATCATCACACATGTCCCCCGGGCAGCTGGCGGAGAGCGAGAGCAAGAGAGAGAGAGATGGGGCGAGAGAGCAAGAGAGAGGGGGAGAGAGAGAGAGAGAGAGAGAGATGGGGCGAGAGAGCAAGAGAGAGGGGGAGAGAGAGAGAGAGAGAGAGGGGGAGAGAGGGAGAGAGGGGGCGAGAGAGAGAGAGAGAGAGACTGAGAGAGAGAGCAAGAGATCAAGAGAGGTCTCTAGTTTTCCACCAGAAAAGAGCAGATGCTTGTTACCATAGCAACCCACTGTTTATACTGTCAGCAGTTAGCGTTAGCCTAACTGTTTTTGCTGTATTTCAGTTTAGCACTTATTAAATGATGCAATTTTAATAAATATGTTGAAAAACATAACATTTTGGGGTTTTTTTTCCCGAATTCCACTGGTTTGAATGAGAGCAGTCAAAATGACGGCTCTGGGAGTTTCATAATTGTGAGTCCTAATGTCCAGAAATAGAGAGACAGTTGGACCCTCCATCAGAAAACTTACAGAAAATCATATTATTTTTAAATATAGCAGATTTTCTTTACTTTCTCTGAATTAGAATTGCCGTGATATATCCATCCATCCATCCATTTTCTACCCTTACGCCGTGATATATTTATTTTAAAATGTTCACGTTAATTGATTTCTTTTTTCATATTTTCTGAACTAAAACCGTGAATAAGGCAGAATAATGCCTTGGATTGGTTCTCTAGCATTCTGGGGGAAGGAACAAACGAGCCAAATAACTGCTGTAGAACTTTGAAACTGCTAAATTGAAACTTTTTGTGGTGTTTAATTTGTCTAAAACAGAGACCTCGGCACAAGCGTGTAGTTTCTAACTGTATTTTGTCTAAACAGCCAAACCCAATTAGTCGTATTTGTTTTGTGCAGCGCATAGGCACCAATCCACCTGGGACATTACTGCACTGCCAGTGTTTGGAGGAAGTCAGGAGTGTGGAAATGTGGTGAACAACACAGACCCAGGAAGAAGCTCCATACAATCAGTAGAAATATAATTATACTACATTAATATGTCTTATGTCTGGATTTGAACATGTCAAGAACACAGACGAATGCACATGGTCATTGGTGAGGATCTTTCAGAGCCTGTCTTTACTACATACATCTAGTCTCCAGGGGTTTTCAATAGGATTCGACATATTTCTAAACAAAACAATACAATTGAGTTAAGAATAACTGTTTTTGGGTCTTTTTCTAATGCTGCTCCACATTTGTACAAAAAGACAGGACTTTCAATGCATTCATATGTAATATAGTGTTGAAAGATGAGATGATTAAGATGAATTTCTATAATATATAAATGTAATTGTAATGTCAAAATATCAAAACAAAATCTATATTATGTATGTATATATTTATCATTTATAAATGGGAAATAAAAACATAATATTGTGTAGAATTTAGAAAATAATGATGTTGGATCTACAGTACGTTTTTTTAAGCACAACCCTAATTACATTTGTTTTATAATTAGGGTTTTTATTGTAATTTCCGTTCAAAAGAAGACAAACAAAAGACAAAAATCAGGTATAATTTGAATATGTTTTTGTTGTTCTTTACCTCCAGCTGACACCAGTGGGAACCACCGTTTTCTCTGATTTCTGGGGGAAGAACGGAGCGATGGACATTGACGATGGACCCAACGGACAGATAGAATACACCATCCAGTACAACAACTCTGACCCGGTGAGTGGCAGGTCGTCTGATCAAAGGATTTTTCCATGTTTGAGTGCTGTTCATGGGGTTTACAGACACATTTATACAACATATACATATAACAAAAAATTAGGAGGGATATAGAACAACGTATTGAAATGTATAAATGTTTGTTTCTTATCATTAGCCCATATAGCATAGTTCCATCATCACTGTGGAGATTCAAACCCACTAAGCTATTATCTTATTACTTCAATATTCGTGCAGTAGAAGTGTATTACAGATTTCTCTACATATTTATCTACATGCAAGTACTGTACATAGTTCTTGTAGTAGAGCAGGGGTGTCCAAACTTTTAGTAGTTGGACCACTGCAGTTGACCAGACTTGTCCAGGGGCCGACCACACAGATAACAGCTTTGACTGGATCAGGCTGTTCTGAGATTTCACATGAGGAACAATAAGTCAAAATAGATTCATATTTGACAGACTTTTACCAACTTACTACCACAACACAGCTACACTAGCATCATATTTGTGTTCCAAAGGGTCCGAGCTGGGGTCTGAACAAGGTAAAGCTTGTCTATAATGGTGGAGTAGTTGGATGACACTTGTGTTTATGATCTTAATGGCTACTTTGGGTTAGCAAGGCAGAGGGCCACATGACATGACAGAGGGCCGTAATTTGCCCTTGGGCCTTAGTTTGGACATACCGGTACGAGAGTATACAGATTAATACTATGTTTCTTTATTTGGCTAAAATAGATTTGATTTGATTTTTTAAAGTATAGACCAAAGTGCTATACTATAATCCCTTAACTTTTCTTGTGTGCTCCTCATTCCTACTTTTCTTCCCGAATAAAGAATCTCTTAACATTACTGAAAAACCATCATTAATGTAGGTTGCCTTGTGGGGGACCAGCCCAACTGTTGTGATTAGTTCTTATAAATCTGAACATTTATGCATTCATTATAACCTCTTTAAAATCTCTCTCGTCTAATAAATGTTTCGCCTCAGTCTAATGATCCTACAGAGAAGAGGCGCCTGCCGGGTTTGTTCCGTACAGTCGGGGCCCCCTCTTGTAGCCTTTGTTACACTTCAGTGAACCCACATCTTTTCATCTTCAAGTGTCGGAGGCCGGGAGCGAGGCTTAGAGTGGTCTGCGGATCATTTAAAGTCCTTTGTGGTTTGCGGTTGGAAGCAAGTATTTACTGAAGCGAGCGGAAAAGCGTGTACGTGTAACTTTTGGATACGTGCATAACCGCCGCCGTGCTTGACCCCTGTGTTTTTACAGAGCACCCGGACGTTCGACATCCCTCTCACTCTGTTCGGATCCGTGGTGCTACGAGAGAGACTCAACTACGAAGAGGTCACGCGCTACTTGATCGTCATCCAGGCCAATGTGAGTAAAAAACTAAAACGCTAAAACTTGTTGTGAGTTCTGCATGTTAAAGTCAATGCTGTGTTACTTTTGTGAATTGTGGTTAGAGAGAGATTTGTTTGATTCTCTGATCTGTGTTGGCAAATTGACGGTTTTGTGAAGTCCTACTGTTGAAATTTAGGGCAGTACAAAGACACATTGAATTGTATTGCAGGCACTGGTTAGACCCGCCCATTCTCACCCCCACTGCTTCCTGATTGGACAGAATATATTTAAGTCCTAACTTTGCGTCCTAACAGGGGCAGATATGTGGCTAAGATGGACGCTAAAGCAAGCTGGAGTTTCCCTCGTGAATAAAGTATCTGATTGGTCAATCCATATGGCTCATATCTGGATTTACAAAGTCAATATGAAAATAAATTGAGCGTTAAACCACAGATTTAAGCCCAAAATGGTGAGTGTCACACAAACAGGTACTGAGCGAGAGTAGTCAGTTGGAGCAAGAGTTTCATTGAGCTAGCTGGTTAGCATTGTCCATCTAAATGACGTCTATGGTTATGCGAAGGAAAGGGGCAGTATTAAGAATATAGTTATACATAATTGATGCTGTTAACATGGGTTTGTTTTCACTGACAGCACTAGTTTTTATCTGATAGTTTTTTTATGTTCAGTCTCTATTCGATGTTGAAAATCAGGAAAAAGTGTTTTTTAAAGCATCCCTCCTCTGGTCTGCTCCTCATTCACACGTGTTGCTTGTTTATAATGAGTTTGATGGGGTGTTATTGATCTTACCCTGTCCTTGATGTGGCCAACTACACGTCTATATTCCCCAGGTGTAGAAAGGGATTCACTCAGCAGATCTGTGCAGGAGCTGCTGGAGGCTTATTCACTTTCTGTACAAATAACATGACACTAATTTTTCAAAGATCATTTCTTTCAGACTCGTGTAGAGCTTGTCTGAGAAACAGATCAATGCCTCAGTATTGTCCCCGATCATCCTGTGTATCAGCTACAGAGAGCTACACAGTATCTGTTCTCGATGAATAATGCACGAGCTATTACAGTGGAATCCGACTAGATCCCTGTTCTGGCCCAGGCTGGCGCCCTTTATCTCCACAGAGATGGGACCAAGGACAGGTGTGGGCGTGGCTTTTGTGCAGACATTCTGCCGCCACAAAAGACTGCAGCTACAGTGATAATTCCATGATTACCAAAAGGTGACACAGCCTTTTCCCAAAGATGGCAGTACAGTAACTTTATATGTAACTAAACTTGTGGTTATTATCCACATTTACACTACAAGGTTATTGTTGTTCTTGTGTGACATGGTTTCTTTACTTTTATTTGATCCACTATGTATAATAGTCTCACTCTTTGTTGATTTACTGTTCTGTCTTTTCTAAATGCTATAGCTGCAGTCTAAGCTCCCACTATTCTGATCTAGTCGCCTTAAGGGAGCCAGCAGCACTCCTTTAATTACTATTAACGTCTTTTTAATACAATTGTTTCCCCCTCTTGTTCTGCATGTCATGTTTTATTCATTCTATAACACTCATATTTGCACAAACAGAGGAGTGGGGCCAAAGGCTGAAGAAGATCTGAACATTAGGTGCCACAGAAAATTGCTAAGTTTTGCCATTAGGGATTTTGTACTGACAAAGGAAGCACTCTGGCAAAAGCTTTCGTTCTCAACAAAGTATTTTTGGTTAATATTTAAATGTCTCAAGGCCCATTTAGCCTGGCACGTTATTAAAAGTCAACAGCACAGAAACGTGACTTCCACACTAAAAAATACTACAATACACACAATACACACAAATCCACACTACAATATCTAGTGATACAGAAAACCCAAACTTCTTTTTAACATGTGTGGCCATAGGTACTTGTCCAAGCCTGGTTAGTGCTGTGATGGGAGACCGCTGGGAGCACCAAGCGCCCTTTGGAACAGCTGTGGCTGAAAAGTGTTAAACCGTTCTGTGTGAATGATTGATTGAGGTCGGAGTGTCCGATGACATTGTTAGCCTCACTTTTGTCACTGTTGCCGAGGGCAACTGTGGCTGCAATAGTCACTTACCACCACTGTGTGTGTCGTAGTGAGGGATGACCCTGTGTTACCCCAGGACAGTTCCTTTGTGTTTTTTATAATTATTATTATTACATAATTCCTGTCAATTGTTTTATTCTCAAATCTATTGTAGACAAACTGATAATGTTGGATATTTCTCTGAGGCGACTGCTGTTGTGAAATAAGGCTATAAACATTTAATCAAATGAGTTATCGTTGGTGATATCTGAAAGGGTCTGCACAGGTCAGCTGTGTTTGATTATAGAGTGATTGTATAAAGCAGTCCTTCTCAGATAATTGGGGGGGGGGTAGTAAAGCTCTGGTAAAGAGCAACAGTGCAAATAATAAATGCAAAGAATGTTAGTTTAGATTATTATCATCAATAATCATTTAGCACAGATACATATCACTGTGTGCATTTTAATCTTATGGCTGCATAAAATCACACAACTATCATTTTGCATTCGAAAACAAGATTTATTTACTCTAAGTTTAAGTGTATTAATGTGAATAAAATGTGGAACCATGAGAAATAGAAAAGGGATTGCCCTGGCACTACAGAAGTATGATATCAAATACAATAAAAACACCAGATAGAAATGAGATGACAAATGCAGTCTCAGTTCTCTTTAAAAACTAGAATTCATTAACCTTATCGCCCGGGGGAAAATAACTGTTCTTAAAAGCTGAAATCTGTACTTTGAGGCTTTGGGAGGCCCTCCCCGAGGGGAGCTCGGGGAACACGACTTTATGGTAGAGGAAGGTAAGAGGCACTTTCGACGTTTGAGACGCTTCTAGTTAACTGTAAATGAGTGTGTACTGTGTCATTACCTACTTTCTGGTCAGACGTCACACATTTCACGTCTGTTGTGAATGAGTCTGACTGATCTCACTGACCTTGTCCCTGTGCTACCTGTGCTGCAGATGTGAAGTACAGTTCCATAACTGTACATACTACAACCATCGTGCGTTGACTCATGCATGTCTGTTTTAATGACAACTTTCTTGTATCACCAGATAAACCAACAATAATTACATTTTAAAAATAGGTTTAAAAGGGATTGAATCAAGCAAAAAGCCATTCAGACGCACACTAAAATACAGTACAAAAACATGAAGCAATGCCCTCTAGTACACACAATAACACTGAAACCGCATTGGACGAGACAGATACACACACACAATCCTGAAAAACCACGCGACTCAATCACTCCTATCTCGATTAAAATTAGATTTCAATTACCCACTGCTGCAACAAAAATCCATTGTCTACCTTTGCCCGGTCGCAGATCATTAGCACGACATGCAGTACAACTTTATTTGCTTAATCACTTTGCCGATGGAGCCCACCTTTTCATACCGGGTCATTTTGAATTATCTTTTTAACACATCATGGCATACAGTTCTTTAGTTTGTCTTGCGCTTTATCATCAAACCTTGCACTCTGTAATTATGAGACGCCTACACATGAACGTCGGTGTAAAAATGCTGACTGTGATGTGGTCTATTTGAGGTTTAATTAGTGGTATTAGTCGTAGCTTCAGCGATGAGAGGCTGACGGAGAGAGGCCACATGGTCATTCTCCCTGTTGGATGAGGATCGGTGAGGAGCGCTTATAACGATACAGAAAGCGCCGTGGACTTCATACGATCTGTCAGACGTAAACTTGACACCAAGCTTAATTATAGGAGCTTTATGGCTTCTATCGCAGCGCAGCGGTTTGTAAGATGGGGTTAACACGTGGAGGGAACATGCTCTCAGATGACTTCTTAGGAGCAGCTGCAGTGCCTGATCTAGCACAACATTATGACCACGCTTATGTTATCTGGCGCCTGGGTTTTGTTTGGATTATTGGAGTAAAACTTATTCTGTCTCTTTGTTGATTCACTCTTCTAGCCTTGATCTTCTAGCCTTAAAGCTGCACTAACTGATTTGTAGAAAATTTCAAACGCAAGAGATGGCCTCGCTCTCTCTGCTCTGCACCCACGGAGCTTTTGCCCCCCACTACCCCCTCCCCCGCAGCCTGTGCTCTGTGCTGTTGTTAGCTTCGGAGCTAGCGTCTCACAATATGGAACAATATGGCACTTTTACACGTGGATGGCGTGACCATAGAGTGACAGAACCGGAAGCGCGGAGAGGACGAGAGTTTCTTTTGGATGGATGTTTTGCTGTGTTTAAGCAGTAACGAAGACACAGGAAGTTTCAGGTTAGCCACCGCCGCTTGTTGTGCTAACTCAGCTGTCTGTGCTAACTATGGTGCTAACCAGAGACCTGTGGTTTTTCTCAAGAAAGCGGGGGCCAGTGGTCCGCTGTGATTGGTCACAATCTGAGACCCAGTTTCACCAAAACTCGATCTAAAATATAATGTCAAGCCTGCACAAACCTGCGCTAATTATTCTTCAAAAGGACGTATATCCCAATGCACTGCATGGACATGGATAGCATTTTCGTAATTTGAATAAAATCAAAATCAAAATCAAAATCAGTAATGAATACAAAAATAAAGTCAGTTAGTGCAGCTTTAAGGGAGCCAGCAGCATAACTTTAATAAGAACTGTTTGCGTTATAACTTTTCAATAAAATTGTTTCCCCCTCTTGTTCTGCATGTCATGTTTTATAATCGATGGATAAATAGATACTTTATTGTCTCCAGTAGAATATCAGTAGCAGCAGAAACACATCCATCCACACACACAAATAAATACATAATTCGAAAAGTAGCTAACAATAGTAATAATGATGATAATAATGCATCCATTTTATAAAAGTATTTATTGAACACTCAAAGATGCTTCACGTGTTCATTCATTCCCTCCATACACAGTGGTGATAAACAAATTCTGTCCACAGCTGCCCTGGGGCACACTGGCAGAAGCGAGGGAACCAGTATGTGCCATCGGCCCCTCTGACCACCACCAACCATTCACACACACACCAGACTCATTCTAGGCAAACTATAGTTTGGTGTTGGGCACCT